TTCAAACTCAATAAATTAACTCAATAATTTATACGGCACCATAAGATACTACAGATGATATACAAATCGAATTCATCATTTTGTTCATTTTTGGGTGTAATGTGCTATTTGTTTTCATAACATCACCCTTCCCCATAATAAAAAGTCTAGTCTTTATCCAATTCCTCTGAGTATAAAGGTGCCTATAAATAATGCACAGAAAAATAAATGCAACAATAAACAGATACTAAGAACCAATAGATCAATATGAATGTGCATTAGTGTCTGTATTTCAGAGGTGGTTTCACTTAAAAGAAAAGCCCCATTTCATAATCACGCATTGCCTTCTCTCTTCTTTTGAAATCTTTTTCTGTTGTATCTATGTACTAGTATAAAATTGAACTCAGAATCTTTAAAATATTTCATAAAGCAAAATAGAAGTAGTGAATTACTCCAATTTTGAAATGTTATAGAAATATTCTAAGAGCTAGAACCAGTCTGTATTATATAAAATAGTATCAATAAGTAGCATTTCTGAATCCACATAGAGAGAATAGTTTGTTACAAAGCATTGAGAATAGTCTATCTCTACTTTATATTTTTTTGCTTTTCAAATTTTAAAGGATGAGTTCTTTATTTTTAAAATCTTGCCTTTTTAAGATTGGTAAAACATCCTTGATATAAAACAAACTAAAGAAAAATAGCCATGTGTGCTTGGTGAAAGTAGAAATCTGGTTTGCTCAGTAAATGTTTGGGATGTCTATCAAATGTATTTAGAACTAAGAAAAGTTCACACTTTGATAATTTATGTTTTCAGTAGATATTTTATATGTACAATAAAATATATAGAAAATTAGAGAGGTTAAGCCATTTTGTTTTTCAACCGTCTCCAATATCCAGAAAATGGGGGTGAGATATGGAGAAAAAAAGGGTGTGCAAGATAGAGAGTGAAGACTAATCTGAGCTTTTCTATAGCACTGCAGCAATGTCCTCCCGTTGTTCATCGATTTGCTCGAGCTGGGCACCAGTAATGTCTCCATTGTGAGACTTGTTACTATTTTTGGTATATCAAATATTCCACGAGGAGCTTGCCAGGCTCAGCTGTGCATGTGGGATAGTCTCAGGAGCTTGCTTGGCTCTCCGAGAGGGACGGAGGAATCGAACCCGGGTTGGCCGCGTGCAAGGCAAATGCCCTATCCATTGTGCTATCGCTCCTGCCTGAACTTTTCTATATGAGGAATAATATCCTCATAACATTCTAAGTGGCAGATCTTACAATAGATGCAGCTCTGTTAACAAAACTCAATTTATCAAATCCACCAGCTATTATTCTAAATCTTGATATTGTTGCATTGGACAATGTCAACATTCACCTCATAGATTCTTCTGGAAGTAATTTCCTAGATGATTTTGTGTTTTCCCCTTCATTTAACAAGTTTTCCAAATGCATATGTGATCAGACATCCAGTCAGCATTAATGAGTGGCAAAATAAACTTGGAAGCTCAGCTCCTCACTGATAGTTTTTTTTAAGGTTTGATACAAGACATATAAGTGTTGACCTGGTAATATTTATATAAAATTTTGAGAAGTTAGATAATTATTTCTTTAAGAGTAGAGCCCATGATAAATGCCAGACTACTAAGCTTAAATCTGTTCCTAGTTATGATGAAATATGGGGATCCACATTCAAGAATCATTTTGCCAAATTATCATGATTTTCCATGTATTTATTCACATAATAGAGCTTCAGTTTTATAAAACAATCTAATTTCCTTATTTTTAACTCCTTTAGAGACTATTACAGGTGTTTTCTACATAGACCATATGGCACTCTAAAAGAAAAGTGAAGCTAAAACTTAAGCTGCACAAGCTACGCCTGGCATATGAGTGTAGCTTTGCTTGAGTTTGATCAACCTCAAGCTATTAACTTTCTGACATTAGAAAGTCACTAATGGTACTGGAACTATAGTTGTATGTGCAGAGGAAATACACACAGACAGAGGTCTGACACTGCAGTCACAAAATTTTATAGTATTATAAATTAATGCTAACTCAGTAAAAAATATCACTGAAATTATAGCAAATATTTTTGTTTAAAAGTACCTAATATCAGGCCAGAGAGATAGTGCAGCAGGTAGGGCTTTTGCCTTGCACGCGGCCGACCTGGGTTCAATTCCCAGCATCCCAGATGGTCCCCTGAGCACTGCCAGGAGTAACTCCTGAGAGCAGAGCCAGGAGTAATCCCTGTGTACCGTCAGGTGTGACCCAAAAAGAATAAAATATATATATATATATATATATATATATATATATATATATATCTTTCCAATCCTATATCAAAATCCTAAATAATCTTTGTTGTAAATAATCTTATTTCCTGCACATCTGTATCTGTTCTTACTAGCAAAAATATCAGGAGAAAGCTTCCTGAAAATCTCCCATGTCTATGTTGAAATACCCAGATAATTTATAAATAATGTATATATATATGTATATATACATGCATATATTCATACAGATATATATGCAGACATATAGATAGATATATAGATATAAGCCAGAGCTTTTCCTAAGAAATTATAATGAAATAGTTTAATCAGAGCACAAAAACACACAAGGACACTAGGACTGATTAAAAATAAATGATATAAAAAAATGACCATGATGATGACAACAATGGTGATGATGACACGTTAGACAGCAGGTTAAGGAAGAACTGAGCATTATAAGTGAATTTACCACTCTCAATGGCCCAAACTTCAATTAATCTTGTTTACCCAGAAAATAATCTGAGGTCTTTGGAGACCTTAGGCAGAAATGTGAACAATCAATAATAAATGTCATTATTTTTTAATTAGGACTATTTCTAGATTTCATGGAAAAGGTTTTATATTACATATGATGAAAATTAAGAAAATACTACATTGAGATATTTTTATATCTCAAAACTATAAAAAATATAAAAAATAGGTGTTTACCCACAGATTCAAGAACAGACTTTTTTTTCCCCAAGAATCACAAGAAACCTCATTACACTCTACAAATTTTTTCCAACAAAATGCAATATGCAGGTATTTTAGGGCTTACCAAGAAGAAAACCAAAAAATATTAAGTACATAATTAGTAATGATTTTTAATTTTTAAATTTACATTATAAACATTGTCTGCAATAAATTTTAACTCACAATGTTTCATAAGGAAAAATATGGCCATAAATATAATAGTAACTCAATATATATCCTGGAGCCCTAATTATAAGGAATTGTGAATAGATGTAGAAAGAAAACAGTTTGGACAAGGTAAATGGGTGAATAAGGTAAATGGGTGAAAATTGTAATACTCTTAAAATCTCTTCTCATATATCTAAAGTGATGTCACAATTCTAGTCTCAATATCACACAAAATGAAAAATATTTATGTAAAAGTTTCCAAATGTAATGTGTTGGACCTATTGCCATGAATCAAATATATGTTTTTATATAATAGAAGTTTAAACACTGTCCATGGAGTATCTGTGAAACCTCTTGCTTTTGTTTAGGGTGTTCTAATTACATATTTCATTTGGGGAATAACTATGATACATGTTAACAATGAATAAAGTTGTGTTTTGTGAAGTGGGGGTCCTCAGAATAGCAAATCTCACAACGTGATCTGTCAAACAATATTCTAAAATAAAATATATTTATGGAAATTAAGTATCTTATACATTTCCACCTTAGACTTCATAATGTGATTTAAAATATGAAGTCTCTGAATCCTTGTGGTAAAAATATGTATTATTGTTTAATTAAATTCATTTTATATCTTATATTAACAATTAAGAGATGTATTTATGTGCTTTGAAATTGGTGACCTAAATTGTAAAAGCCCTCTAAATCTATATATGTTATATATTAGATATATTAGTATTTTTTCTTATTATGACATGTCAGACAGCTAGAATTTATAGAACAATTTATATTTTTAAAACTTCACATCAAATTTCTTCTTGTCTATATCATCCTGAGGTATTGTCAGCTATTACAAACTTGAAATCCTTAACCCTCAGGACATTTTGATCTCTTATAACCAATATCACTGAAACCATGTCAGTAACTGAATCCTCTAATATTTTTTTGAAGCATTCAAGTCCATTGTCTTTTTTCACGCCCTCCCACAATGCCTTTCTTAGAGTGCTGTTTTTATGTGTCTCAAGTATTTGAGTTATTACACATCCCCTTCAAACATTCAACCACCTATGGAAGCCATTTTTGAACTTACTGTAATTTACAGTCATTTTGTTGTGGAAGTAATATAGGAAAAGAGAAGTTCCCCACCCAAAGTTCACAATGGTCTGTTTCCTCCTAAAAGGTGTAATTTAGGGGCTGGAAAGATGGCACAGCGGATAAGGTGTTTGCCTTGCACGTGGCCTACCCAGGTTTGGTTCCCAGCAACCCATATGGTGCCCGGAGCACCACCAGAGTAATTCCTGAGAGCAGAGCCAGGAAGAACCCCTGTGCATTGCCAGGTGCGACCCAAAAAGGAAAAAGAAAGGTGTAATTTATATTCAGTAATTTTTCAAAAAAATAGCACAGAGGTAGGGCATTTCCTTGCACACAGCCAACATGTCCGACCCGAGTTCAATTCCTCCGCCCCTCTCGGAGAGCCCGGCAAGCTACTGAGAGTATCTCGCCCACACGGCAGAGCCTGGCAAGCTCCCCGTGACGTATTCGATATGCCAAACACAGTAACAAGTGTCACAATGGAGACGTTACTGGGCCCGCTCGAGCAAATCGATGAACAACGGGAGGACCATGACCGTGATTTTCTCTGAGGAAACCAATATCTCCACAGTTTCTGCAGTTACTTAGATTTGACCTAATAATCAGGTACATTTGCCAATATTGCTATCCCTGTGCTAATGGCTCTTAAGACCAAGAGGTAATGGCTTCTTGCCATTCTAGTATTCTTTTATTAAAACTGAAGCTATATTTGGTATCTCAGATATCAATTACTGTGCTTCACAATCTTTATATATCATTAAAATATTATTTACTTGTTGAATATTTTGGGACAATTAAAAACAGCAGGGGCCATGCTAATCTTCTCTGTATCGTTCCAATTTTAGTATATGTGCTGCCGAAGCTAGCACATCCATTTGAACATTCTGTTTAATGTGGTAGGTACTCTTGTCCCCATTTTGTAAATAAGTAAACTAAATCTCAAGGTGATTGAATATATTTTCCTACATTAGGCATCTAGTAGGTGTAAGAGACAGACTTCCCCTAAAGTCAGGATTATTGTACACTGACACTCATTCTTCCACTACCATAATTATTAATTGGACTCAGCTTCTGTAGGTAGGCCAAGCAGGATTTTTTTCCCCCTTTAAAAATTTCCTGTGGAAGAAATTTATTTTCTTAAAGTCTAAAGATCTTTGAAAGTATCATTTGTAAGGCTTCCATTTTCTTCCATGCTAAGTGGAAGAAAAAACTAAGTAAATAAGATGAGAAACAATGAAAAACTCCTTATTTTGATGCTTGCACATTTCTCATAGTTTACACTTGCGTTGTAAGATATTCAAAGGTCTATATATTTTATAATAAATTTCCTCACCATCTTATTTTTGGCTTAAACAACTTGGCATTGCTTTCTATTTTATGTAAACAATCGGTTCGTAACTAATATTGTAAGTCTACACTTTTTTTCTGCCCTACATAATGTGATTCATCATTTAAGTCTCCTTCCTCTGCTTCTTAGAACACAAAATAAAATGAATAAATAAATAAATAAAAGGCCCTTTCTAAATCTCTGAATAGAAAAAAAATATCTACACATGACATCCTGTACAAAATAAATCATCCTCCATGAATGACACAATCATTCCTAATTTCGTGTTTTAAATAAACTATTTGAAAGAGAATCGGATGAGGTTTCAAAAACTTCAGAAAAACAATTTAAAAGATAGCTCCTAAAGGATTTGTCTGTGTTCATTTTAACTAAACTGATCACAGTGCTATTTAAAAAATGTCCTTGCATATAAAGTCAAGTAGTTATACTAAGGCATTGACTATGGTTTAAGGTAAGGAGTTCACTTGGAAGCTATGGTTGGTGGAAGGAAAGAACAAGGCGTAATCATAAATCATAACAGAGGAAGACAAAGGACAAGGAAGCAAGTCAAGGAGAGTAAAAGAAGCCAGATAACAAAAGATCCAAGCAGAAGCAAAAGAGAAGGGGGTAAAAGGAAGGGCATAGTAATAAAAGGAAGGATAAGGATGCCAGCAGGATGCAACATGCCCAGAATTTTAATGAAAAGCTGCAGCACTGAGAGCACAGGGCTAAGGAGCAAGAGTAAAAGACCACACAACAGTTGGGCAGTATGAATTGTAGCATTGTGCCAGAGGACTTGTAGGAGCCACACCCCATAGAGTCCTTGAACATTTAAACTACATGTCTTTGCTTAATTGGGAGCCACTCTTTAGAAAAAGGCCACAGGTTTAGGGAAGAAAATCCTGACAAGAGAATCTATAAAAGAAGAGAGAGAAAAGTGGACAAAATTGTAGTAAGGACAAAACTAATCAATTATGATGTTATAGCTCCCAAGTTTTTTATTGTTGTTGTTCCCATTAGAAAATCTCCTGATCTGTTCTAATTGACTCTGATTCACAGTATTTTAGCTCCTTATTGCAATTTACTACTCAGAATTTCCACGCAATGTTTTCCTATTGCTCACTACAGGTGTTGCTTAAACAAGACAACATGTGTATTAGCTATGTCCTTATTGAGTACAAGTGAAACTTAGATCTGAAGCATCGAGAAAGAAGAAAAACAAAAGGGGGATGTAGATCTTTCACTAGGAATCAAGAAAAGCATTCCAATGCTTCATCAAATGTAGCAAGAAAATAATTTCATACAAAGTGAAGTACATGTTAACCTTTAGATTTCCACACTAGCCCCCACGATCACCTTATTTAGAGTAAGTCTAAATATGCAAACAGAAAACAACCATTTTCTAAGCAACACTAGAACTCATAAGATGTCCAGAAAGTCAAACTATTATGATCCCAGTTAGGGCAACCATCCCAGTAAGAGCAGGATTTTGTCAAAAACAAGCAAACAAACAAAACCACCCAGTTTGCAATTTTACTGCCTCCAGAGCAGTTCTGACCAAAAGGAGTAAGCAGAAAAGTCGTCTAAAACTAATCAACAGAAATACATCAGTAGCAATCCTACCTATTGTTTACTATGTTAATAATCTTTAATAATCTCCAGTTAGAGCATATCAGAAATCTCTCTTTACTTTTTCCCCTACCTCTAATTTTCCCTACTGCCCTGTCTACTTTGAAGTCTGGTAAAACACAAGTGATTCGGACTAATTTTTTTGGATAAAAAATATATAAATAACACAGTTTTCCCTTACAGTGGTGGTGGAGAGTCTTTGTATAACTGCACAAATAGTATTAAGATACTATATATATATATATATATATATATATATATATATGCTAATGCTTCCAAATACAATAGTCTGGTTAGACAATGTTCCCACATACACTGAATGCCTGGCTACATTCACATTAAATTCATCACTCATTCATCATCCTGTTATTCGTCAATTGCCTCGAGCAGGCCCCAGTAACGTCTCTTTCATCCTAGCCCTTAGATTATATTCCAGGCTCTTTAGGAGAATGAGACCCATCATTGTTACTGGTATCTGGCATATTTGGTACGCCATGGGGAGTTTGCCAGACTCTGCCCTGTGGGCAGGCTACATTCGATAGCCTGCAAGTTTGTCCAAAGTAGGAATGAGATAATAAGATGTCATAAAAAGATGTCCTGATAAGATGTCGCGCGGCCGCGAATGCGGCCACTTGGTTCCGGGAGCTGGATTTTATAGTCTCTGAGTCTTGACCGCTGATGGGATTACACGGCGCCAGGGGGCCAGGTGGTGGGTGTGACCCCAGCCTACTGGAATTTGGAGGATCTGGGTGGAGGATGCTCAACTCCAATTCGAGTAGGCTTGGAGATCTCGGCCCGGGAACCCGCGTGGCTTTGTCCCTCTGCCAGTACCTTCATGTGTGCGGAGAGTGGTCTTGGCATGGTGGTGGCTGGTCCTGGAGGTCTTCCGCTGCCGGAGCCCTGGTCGGAGCAGGGAGGAAAGCTCAACCCGCTCCCCTTGAAGGGACCCCGGCGAGGAACAGCCAGGCGCAGGGGCAGGAGACTGCACTGGTCTCGTCCGGGAGCTTTCACATTAAATGTACTTGGAAATTTAATCAGTTGTGTTTTAATTTAACAAGAAAAAAAAAACTTAAAACCAACTCCTGTTTCACCTAAGTGGTCTGCCATTCTAATTTCTTGACTTAAGTCTTACTTTCTCACGCACACACACTCTTTGTTTCTAACTCAACAGCAAATTGTATTGGCTCAACATTTAATATATATACAAAAACTGATTAAATTGCACTAACTCACCAGTATCTTCTTGGTTGATTTCCAGGCTGCAACAGCCTTCTAATTGATTTTGCTGCTTCTCCCCTTCAACTTTTATTTCCTATTAAAAATCTCTTCCAGAGATATCTTATTAAAGTGTCACTTTGGTCTATTTCTGCTTGCCTTCTTAGAGGGATTATCAGAGATTTAAAACTTTCCTTAAGGTCTTCCATGATCAGGTCATTGGCATCTTCTTTCCCCCAATTACCTATCAAAGTCAGCAGCTTGACTGTAGTTCTATCTCTGCAAAGGCTTGCAGTAGCCTGTGATGGAGGCTGGTATTTTATTTTTGTTTTATTTTTTTATCTAGGTGTTATCTACATTAATTTTTTACCATTATGATCTCAATGTTAATAACAGTGTTTCAACCGAAGTTCCTACTACAAATCCACCACCTTTGTCAGCATCCTACCACAAAAGACACAAAGATCCCCCAGTACCCCGACTCACCTCCTTAGCAATCTCTTTTTTGAAGTTGAATTAATATAGTTTGGCACACATGATATAATAGCATTGTTATTCTAGGATTTTGCCAAATAAATTGCCTCACATCTAGATCACCAAAATGTTTAACACCCATCAGCCTCTTCACTTCTCTCCCACCATACTTTTTTTTACATATATATATATATATATTTTATTTTTATGATAGGTAAGTACATAAACTTGATATTAGTAATATATTGCAGTCCTAGTTAATATCATTAATAAATATGAGGCAGCCTTACCTAATTTCACAACAATTATGACACTCAAAATTAAACTTAGAAATGTAGACCTAATACACAAATGCACTGATGTCTTAGATATTTTAATTTCTATAAAATATGACTAACTGCTAACCCACACAGAACCTTCCATTCATTTGATTTTTGCTCTTTATACAAGGGAGAATGTCTAATATTCATCCTACGTTTGAATTACTTCCCTTTACATAACACCCTTCAGTTCCATCCAAGTGACAAACAACTGGATAGCTTCATTTTTTTTCTGGAGCAGCATAGTATCCCACTGAGTATATCAACCACAACCTCTATATCAGCCTTTGGACATTAGTGTTATTTCCATAACCTGGCTATCATAGTAAGTGCTAGAATGAATACAGGTATACATATATCCTTTTGAGTTAGTGTTTTTGGTTTTGGGATAAAAACCAAGAATAGAAATAGCTAAGTCAACTGGGATCTCTATTCTAACATTTTTGGAGAACTCTCCAGACTTCTTCATGAGAGTTGAAACAGAGCAAACTGCCACCAACATGAAATGAGTTATGCTTTTTCAATATATCCTTTTCACTGGTTACTTATAGTCTTTTTAATATATGTCATTCTCAGAGGTATAAAATGATAATTTATTTGGATTTTGATGTCCTTGGTAATACCAATGATGGGCACTTGAATATTTGTTGTTCTTTTATTTATCTCCTTCATGGAAGTCTCTTCAATTCCAATTCACATTGTTTTTAGGAGAGGGGCACACATGGCGATGCTCAGAAATTTCTCTTGACTCTGTGCTCAGGAGTTACTCCTGATGATACTCAAGGGACCATAAAATAGGACATGGGGGATCAAACCCAGGATGGAAACTGGCAAGGCAAATGTTCTACTGTTTGTACTATGGTTCCAGTCTCTAAATCCTATTTATTGATAAAAATATTGCTAC